TCTGCCTGAAAGGGGAGCTGGAGTTCTGCTGCTGGAGTTCTGCTCCTGGGTGTGCTTAGGAGCTGCCCCTCCAACGAGCCTGCTGGCCTCTCCTCACCCTAAGGCTTGCCTGAGATCTGTGCCAAAAATAAAAGTCCCTAAACTATGGGCTCCCTGGGCTGGCTGCAAATGCAGAGTTGGGAATACTCCTATTCCCAGCTTCTGAAGCTCTGTCTGTCCTGGCTGGCTGCAGGAATGACTGACAAAACCAGCCAGGGCTGCTTCTATACACATGAGCTCAACAAGCTTCTTTTTAGGATGAGCTCAATTTTTTAAATTGTGTTTGGAAATCATGGTGCAGATTTGGCCCAAAGCATATTATTGTACAAAAAGCACTTTTGCATCAAACCAGCTTTTTAATTTCATGGAAGCTTTCATCTTCAAATGAAAACCTTGGAGTGAGTTGCTGCAATCCCTGCTGCAGCCCCTGATATCAGAAGGGATGCTGGTACCAGGGCAGAGGCTGGGAGCCCTGCTCCAGGGGAGAGCACACACAGTGCAGGATGCTCCCAGCTGCTGGGGCACAGGCACGGGCTCCTCTCAGCTTGTTTTCAGAAACAACTTGCTGTGAGTCTGTGCCACTCGCTTGGATGGACAAGGGTGTGACTGTGACAGCCTGGTCAGAGAGAAAACAGGTAAATTTTCTCATGCTCGGCTTGTGAGATTTTAGAGAGCTGTAGAGAAACGATGAGAGCTTGTTATTATAAACAACCTGCAGGTGGTGTTTTCCTGCTCTCTGTTTTCCTGTTTTTCTCAAAGATTGTTTATAAAAAAGGTGTTTTTGTCGATTAGCCAATCAGGTGAAATGTATTGATTAATTCACCAATCTAGTCTATATCAGAACAGTCTATAAAAAGAGATAATTTTCATGGTAAAGATGCTGCTGTGCAAACCAGCCTTCAGGAACTCAACAGCAGCACAAGGGAACAGCCTCCAGCTCCTGCACGGGCGTGCTGTGCTGCCAGAGCTGTGCCCACCCGGGCAGCTGCTGGAGAAGAGCCTGGGCTCGGCAGTGACTTCACACAGAAATCCATCTCCTCACCAGATCCCCCGTGCTTCTGCTAGGTGAGCCTAATTGCAGCACAATAATTAATCATTAGGAAGGGAATTAAATAGTCTGTATTACAGTAAACATTAGTTGCATATTAATAGGATAATTAGCTGCTCATTAACTGTTTAAGCTCTTCAAAATCCCCTTTGTCACACTGCAGGTTTGTGTTAAATGTCTGCTTCAAAAGACCTGAAGCAAGTGTCCTTTTACTTGCTGTAAAAGGCATCACAAATTCCAGAACCAGTTTAGTTATTTTTTTCCTTTGGTTAAAATCTCCCTTTCTGTTTGACTTTATTTAAATTCAAAAAAAGTGAAGATATAGCATTGATATAGACCCACTAAAATATCCCAGGGATTGAAGGGAATGACTTCCCAAAATTATATATGATCACTGAGGCAAGCACTCTTTTTTTTTTCTGTTGCTCTTGTGCTGCTGGCATCAGGCATTGGCAGATCCTATCCCTCACTAAGGAATATATACTGCCCTCCAAAGATGCAGAACAGGGACTAAGAGAGGGAAAAGCTAATGAGCTGATTTCATTCTAATAAGATTCAGAACCACAGCCCCATTTTTGGCCCCTTCCTTTCAGGCCATTTAGGCAAATCACTGAATTTCTCTGCATCTGCCTTCCTTCACTGGAAGCTAAGGCTATTTTATTTCCCTTGTACAATAAAGATGTATAAAACTCCTCCTTTATCAATGAAAGGTAAGTTCCTTATTTGTGCAGGCTGCTGTCCAGCACCAGGTGTGGTACCTGCAGGGTTCACAGCCCAGGTGAAATGGGAGTAACGGGACCTACTGCCTGCAGCATCTAACACTGCAGTGGTGAGAGATTTGTGGCCAAAGCAAGGGCAGGACTGTTTTTCAGGTCACAAGAAAGTGTTTATAGTGTCTGGATAGAGGAAACAAACACCTGCCCTGCCCGTGTGAGCACAGCCTGCCAGCCTGGGGGATGCAGTGCCCTGCTGGCTGCACAGGTTTGTGTGGCAGGGTGCAGGGCTGCTCCTGTCTCCTCCCAGGGCTGCAGCCAGAGCCAGCTGTGGTGCAGCAGAGATCTGCTCCCAGCTGGAGATGTGTTTGGAACCCTGTCCTCGCTGCTCAGCTCTCCTGCCTTTGTGGTGATGGACTGTGTCCTGGCTTGTCCTTACTGAGTGATCATTCATTTCTCGTGGCTTTTAATTAGGGCAATTTCTTTTGGCCTGCTGGAAATGCTTTCCTCATGTAGATTAATTAAAAATAAAGCCTAGCTCTGACAATTTAATATGAGCTCTGGTCAGTATGCAGGCAGCCTTGTAAGCCATTATTAATTATACCATTCATATTCTTCATAATATTTACTTTTAAACCATGTTTTTCGGGAACTGAGGACAGTATTTGTTAGTCATTCTCCACAAAGTTGCAGGCAGAATTAATCCAGCTGGAGAGCAAAGATGTGCATGAAGCATCACATCTGCCCTGTGGCTGCACAGCCCATGCCCTGCTGCTGGAAGCAGGGCCATGGTGCCCTTGGGCAGCTCCTTTGTTTAGGGACAGCTCTGGGCAGCAGAGGTCCCTGGCTTAACACCAGGCAGTTCAGCCCCATGAAACATCAAGTCCTGTTAATGCTTCCTGCTGTTTTTTCCTCTCTGTAGGCAGCAGCTGACTGGTTTGGCCTTTGCAAGGTGTGAAACAATCGTCTAGAGGCTTGGGCAGTCAATAAATCAATACTGGCTAGTGAATGACTTTGTTCTGATCCTCCTCAGGTGTCTATTCAAATTCCAGTTTGATTGGCCTGTGGTATTTGCAGAATTGTGACCATCTCTTGGAGAATATTCACCTTTGTGTGGAGGACTGCAGATTAGTTTTTTATGTGTCCTCTCTTATTTCCCATAAAAAGTTTTAATTGTTTATCTACAAATAATTTGGGTAAAGCTCCATGCCTTCACAGTATTAATTTGCCCAAGGAATACCAAGACCTGCACTAGGAAGGCAAAGGTCAGGGGTGTTACAGAGTGCACCAAATCCAACTCAGGGCGTGCCTGATGTGACACTGCCCTGCCAGCAGTCCCCTGGTGATGGGAAATGGGACAGGGGACCCATGTGTCTCAGGTGTCATCCAGTCTGGCACTCACCCTCCTTGATTTTTCCTCTTCAAACTCTTTACGTTCTTTCAGGCTTCTCTTTCAGTGAAGCTTCTTAATTTTAATTTCTTATAAACTGACCTTGGAGAATAAACTCTGCTTCTGCCAACAGTCCATTAATGCACAGCGAGCAACTTTCTTGGGTGTGTTACTGGGACCAGATGAGAAAAGTGCTCTGATGTAGTGGGATTTTACTTGTCATGAATATTTATATAAAGTCTCTGTACTTTGATACTTTCAAGAATGTAAATGCAAAAGGGGAGGAAATAGTTTTTTTAACAATATTTTTAATACATCTTTTAGCCTGCTTTTGAAGTCCTAGAGAATATTGTGCTCTTTCCTGGGAGATTCCTGGGTGAGAGCAGCATGCTCACTCCCTGTGGCAGGGCTGCCCTGCTTCACCTGTGCAGAGGCTGGGAGGGCACAGCTGCACCTCCACCTGGGACCCAAAAATACACCAAAGTTATCCACAAAGTGGTGCTCTTTGTGCTGACCAGAGCGTGCATTGATTGCAATATTCAGCATAGAAGAATACTCCTGTAGGTGTTGCTGTACTGTAGATCAGGCATTTTGCTGAGCTGCATTTAAATATACAAAACATAAATGCATCATGGCATTTCAGCTAAACCTTTCTGCAGGACTTGTATTCAATATCATGAAAAATTTAAATTGTGGTGGTCTTGTAAGTTCTACCTAGAACAATATTAATTAAATCCTTGAAACACTAAATAGGAAGGGTGAAGGAATACTTTGATCAGGAGCCCAGTGTAGAGATGTAATCAGATAAAATTTTAAGAATATGCTATGACAACAGGGCTGGTTTTTCAAATGGAAAAAATGTTTTACACAGTGGCTGGAAAGGTGGGGAGGGCACAAGTAGTATTGCCATGAAATATATTCTTTCTTCTTACAGAGAAAACTGGGTATATATTTGCAATATTTGCTGCGGGAGACAGCCCAAAGTGCTGAGTAAATACCATTCCCTAGTTTTATTAATTTAAAATGTATTTATGTATTTTAGTTTAAGTGTTTCATTTTGTTTCTTTCAGGCTTCAGAATGCCTATGGTAAAATGACTTTGTATAATGATTTCAGTGTTCATATATATAATATATATATAATGATTTCATTGTTTCATTGTTGGAGAAAGCGAAAAGAAAAAAGGCCATGTAGTCAAAAGATCAAGCAAATATTTCACTCAGTGTACAACAAAATATTATGAGGTAATTTTATTTTGTTTCCATTTTTAGGTAAAAATATTACAGTATACAAGATAATTTTATTAAAGGTAAAAATACAGTATTTTTTTCTCTAAACAGATCTACGTACAGTACACTTTTTTATTTTGTTTTCTTTTATTTTTGTACAAATATAACTATTATTCTAATAGGCTATATGTATTCTCATCTGGCACTTAAGAACTGATCACAGGTCACCTTCTGGCTCTGCTTGTTTGTCTCTGCTGAAACCTAGATGTCATGTACATTTTATAGGTGTCTTATGTAAACAAACACTCCAGTTCCATGGTTCCCAAGTAGTAAGGTGTGCTTTAAGTAGTTGAAATCGTGTAGTCAACCATGAAAACCCAAGCCATCCATGTTTGCAGTTGTGTTGCACAGACAACTTTCCTGTTGAAAAAGTGTGATCCTTCCACTGCCACAGCCTGAGAACAGTTTGAATCCCTTTCTCATCCTCTGTAAAAGCCAAGAACATGACAACAATTTCTACAATGATTTTTATTTTATTTCCTTTTTTTTTTTTTTTTTTTTTTTTTATTTTTTTTTTTTTTTTTTTTTGGTCAGATTGTTCTATTGAAACCTTTCTGTACAAATTTCAAGGCTGGAAACTACTGGGCAATGTTCTTTGTTATTGATCTCTCTCTATGGCTTGCAGTTTGACCTCTGGAATCTGAAAGCTGAGCTCAGTTGCATCGCTGTCTCTGGATTAATGTTTTTCTTTGAACTGAATACATTAGCACAAGGTATTTTATCTCTGGGTATTCCTGGGAAGTGAGTTTCACATCATTACGAGTATTTCAGTACACTGTTGTCAGAGATGGGATCGACTAAAGATAAAAGAGAGGCTAAGTGCATACAAAGAGACCATATCCATCAGCAGACTAGCTAATACAGCTGGAAAAGGTGGACAGGAGTGTTTGGCTGGCAATCCTTTCATCAGGTTAAAGGATAATTTACCCCACAAGCTTGATTTCATTTTTCCAATGCTGTCAGTGTCTACTTCTTGTTCACTGCCTTGGTCACTTCAACAGATGATTTCTCATTATGTTTTTATTAGCCATAATGCTGATCAAAGTTATATCCAGGGCTGCCAATGTAAACGAAAAAGGAGAGTACACACCCAAGAATAGGAATTTAAAAAATTTTGCAGGGAATATGCTTGGCACATTTTTTCTTCAGGCTTCACCCATTTCTTATCAGTACAGCCTCTGTTGGTGTTAATGAGCACAGTTCCATTGTCTTCTCTGGAGTCAGGTGAATGAAGATCTGGCCTTTTTTTGCCCTTAATTGGAGGTGCCTTCTCTATGGTGCATCTGTTTCTGATGTCAAGGGGCATCAATTTTTACCATTAAGTCACTTTTGTATCAGAAAAGATTTGACTGGTCACTCACCAAGTGCAGGAGAAACAGAAAGTGCTCCTACTAACACTTGCTTGTCAGCAGAAGCTGAGTGTACAGTGCCCATCTTTCACATGTTTTTTGCCCTCTAAGATGCTGGTTGAGAATGAACAATGTTTAGAAAACAAGTTGTCTTTCTCTGTATTCACCATCAAATGTCCTTATTTAAGGTCTTCCCAAACTTGTCACTCAGCTGCTGTATTAGTTTTGCCAGCTCACCAGTAGCTTGTGACTTTTCCTCTAAGAGTTCATAGCGGAGACTGGAAATATCTTGTTTGATTTCTTTAAGTTCTCCTGAAAGAGGAAAATGTTCTTGTTAGCCTGTAGTGAACCAAGTCAGTAATCCCTATGGTTCCAAGATATGAGAGAGCAATAATTGCAGTGTGTTTGGTCAGGAACGTGTGTGGAGCTGCATTTGATCTCCCTGCATTATGCACTTAATATCTGTATTTACAAGGAATAACCTGTACTTGCAATAGTGGTACCAACAGCAACAGTAAATATGTGGAGAGTTCATGTTTGTTTCTCAAATTTGTTCTCTCTCCACAAACTGATCTCCACCTATATAGGGGATTTGCAGGAGAGTAGCAGATAAGAGGTGTTAGAGGCTCTTTTCCATCTGCACACAAATCCCACATGCCACCACAGCAATAGGAACCTGGATCCCTTCAAAACAGGGTCCTTGGGGCAGGCCTGGGCAGGGCAGTCAGAAAAGGCTTCGTGTAGACACCAAGGTAAGGTTGGGTGTTGGCAATACCCTGGTGATTGTAAAGGAAGGTGAGCGAGAGCTACAGGGGTGAGCAGGGCTGGGTAAGATCCTGTGAGATATGTGTTCTGCTAAGGAAAAATAAGGACATGGAATTTCAAGGGCACAAGGGTGGCTCAGAGGCAGCACTGCTCACCTGAGTGTGAGCATGAGCAAGCTCTCTCTACAGAGGATCTTAAATAAGCTCAACCCTGCTACTGGCCAGATCAGCAGCAGTAACAGCACATGCTCATTAGGTGGGTTAATTACAAAATTCCACTTGCCTTCATTGACCTCATCATTTTCCCGGTCAACCTGAGCCTTCAGCACATAGCGCTTAATCAGGCGCTTCATTATCTTCTGAAAGGAGAACAGAAACACCCCTTTAGTGGGACACTGTCCACATTCCAGCCTTACTATGGGCAACTCAAACATCTGGTTTCACTAGGGATGATATTATTATTATTATTATTATTATTATTATTATTATTATTATTATTATTATTTCCCATTTGTTTTCCATTTTATATTGTGAACATTGTACTACAGTAGTCAGTTGACAGACACTCAATCATGACCCCGCATATGAAGCACTTTGGGGTTTTTTGTGGGCTGCATGTGAATGTAGAGCATACCCCACAGATAAAGAGAAAACATAGATGATCCAATAGAAAGCTAAGGAAATGGGATCCAGAGCTTTCTTTTAGTATGTTGCTAGTAGTACTTTACAGGAAGAAATAAGTGGTTAATTAAAGATGTTAGGAAACTCACAATGCAGCTGACCTGAGGTTCACAGAAAGGATCTGTTAACCTTGTCATTGGGTTTTTAAGAGAAAATAAATTTAGAGTAGGACAGAGAAAAGAGAGTCTGAACAAAGGTGGGGAACCTGGCTTAAGGGAGAAAAGTTTCTTATAGAAATGGTGGATTTTAAGAGACATATGTGATGAAAAATATAAAGCCATGTAAAATTACAAAATGGAAGATGACTGTTAGTAAGGAAGTGTAAGTATAGAAATAGATGATAGTTGTGGATATGAGCTTGCAATGTGCTATTGTTCCAAGGATGTCTAAGTTTAATTTATCTAGAAGGAAAATAACTTTGGTAGTCATGGGTTGCACTGGGGTACAGATCATGGCCTCATCTTCAGTGTAGAAAAGAACACCCCGGTGGGAAAAAAAAAAAAACCTATAAAGGAAAAAATGAATAAAAATATATAGTCATAAAAATAACTGGTCTCTCAGAGACAGAAGTTTGCAGAGATAAATCCTCTGCAAACACAAGAGAGCTCAGTGCCTTTGATTGACCAGATGTCCAGTGTTAAAGGAGAAGCCTCTCCCAGCATGGACTGACTTCTTCACAGAGCATTCACATCTCTGCTTGGAGCATCTGAAAAATGCTACAAAGGGTGTGAAATACAGATTAAGAAAACAGCACACCTGCTCTTTTTTTTTTTTTTCTGACTAGCCAAATAATGATTATAGCAGTGCAAAAGGCTTGTGAAGATCAAAGAAGGATCCAGTTATTTGTATATGCCATGCAACCATGGAATATGGGATGACTAAGACTGCCCTGGTATGTCAGAGGCATCTGGCTAAGCAGGTGAGTCACTAAGGTACAGAGATGAGGTACAGTGCACCTACGGTGTGCTGGAGATGGCCAAGGTAGGAGAATCCAGAGGGAGGTAGGGCTGTCACCTGAGAAAACATAAATGAAGTAATGTTTGGGGAAAGTAGGGAAATCCTGGATCCAAAAATAAGTAATTTTTTTCCACAGCAGAAGTCAGGGGATATTTAGACTAAAACAAGGAATCAGAGCACAGGTTCTTATTACCTGGAAAAAATGATACATCACCTCTCCTTATACAAATTCCCACATTCTCTTTGATAAAAGTATTATTTTTCCTAGACTACTTTATTCCCAAATCATGGCAGCTATATTGACTTGTTCATCATGCTTTTCAAAATATTGCATGTTTAAATTTTGTGTATTTTTGTTATCCCTCTAAAGCACTATTCATATGTAGTCAGTCTTAAATACACAGACTGCAGAGACTGCAGATACATCCCTCAATAAACACTGCTAAGCAAGAAGCAACTGCTTCAAAGGTTTTCCCAGTAGTAGAAGAAAAACTTTCTAGTCAGATTACAACACTGTTGCTTCTTTTTCTTCTTTAGGTTTAGATAATCATGACTATTACATTCTCCTTCTGTTATTTGGGCATTTTCTTTCTGCAGCAACTGAAATGTTCTAAGGTAGTTTGAAGACAAATCTAGCATTATTAAAACAAAATAACAGGTACTTATCTTTTTCTTTCTATTTTTCACAGTCACCTTTTTAAATATTGGAAATAAAGGTCTAATTTACCACAAACACTAGGTGGTCTCATTGAGAAATAACAGCTACAGGAAGAGACAATTTCAGCAGAGGCTGACACATCGCTTGTGGGTTTGAATGAATGGGAACATGCCAGAAGTGCTGAAATGCCACTTTGAGCAGGACACAATCTCTCATCCCTTTTCCTTTGATAGAATCAAGCCAACTAACTCCAGATGCCAGAGTGAATGCATCCTATTTCTAACTTAGATTTTTAGATATTCTATTTTGGTAGAAAAGCATGAAAAAATTCTAAAACTGGTAGAAATTCTTACTGGTGTGCTGAACAGCTTGGGAGCCCGTTGTGCTGGAAGCTCTACCAACACAAGACAAAGCACTTCTGAAACTGCCCTTCCACATTTTAGCCAGTTTAACTATTATTTTCCTCATCTGTCTTTAATGTCCATCCCTTCAGACGCATCACTTGCCATCAGATTCCTTTCCCATTTATGTTAAAAAAGAAGGCAAAAATCCTGCGGGGCGCATTCCGTTCATTGTATTGCCCTAGGACACGTTTGCACAAGAAATAACACATCTGCTGGTGCTGGACAGAGAGCTGTGGTACCCTGTGCCACCTCTGAACCGTAGCACATTGCAGGTTTAGCTTGGCAGGACGAGGCACTGCCAGAGGAAGCACATGCAAATGTGAATGCAGCAGCTGGAGAGATGGTTGAGCGTGGGGAATGAAATCTGGCAATGCGAGATGGGAGGAGGAAAGGTTGGGTGATGAGTACTAAGTGAAACCCCCTCGAGTGGCATTAATTAGCATGACAAATGCTAACACCATGCGTATTTCCATGGGTACAGACTTCCTTTTTTCCAGACCAGCCCAGCCCTGTGCCAGTGCCCAGCCTGGCACATGCCAGGACAGCATCGGCTGGCAGAGGGCAAACGTGGCTCTTGCAGGTAAGAGCTGGGCACTGGCAGACCTCTCTCCTGGCTTTTGCTGTCATGCTGTGATTACCTGGTATCTTGTGGGCTTGGTGTAAGCGTTCTTCCCAGAAAAACTCTCTGTGTTTTGAATGCTGGAGTGAAAGCGAACTTTCTGAAATTATAAAACATCATGGCATGGTTAAATCAGTGATAGCTTCTCATACCCAGACAGCCCCAAACTAAGAAGAGCTTTAGAAAAACTTTAGCTTTAGTAGGAAATGTGCAGTAAAGGCCAGAACATTCAGGGCAAAAAAGGAAATTTTTGGAAGACAGAAAAAAACCAAAAAAACCCCAAAAAATACAAAAATTCATGGAAAAATCTGGATTCTAGATGATCTAGACAGAAATGGTATTCACACACAAGTTCTAGACAATAAGGTGTTAAGAGGCACAAAATACTTTTATGTTAATGAGTCTGATGCCTATCAATTCAGAGCACAAGAAAGATAACTACTTGTATTTGGAAAGAACAAGATTGTGGTACAAAACCAAATTCTGAAACCCTGTTGACTTTCACAGATCCTTTTAAAACAGCTTTGCTATTTCTTTCAGGTAAAGAAAAATATGCATTTTTTAAACAGACAGTTTTTTTTTTTTTTTAATCAGAGGCTTCTAGAGGGTCTAGAAGCTTCCAAGGAGACTTTTCTGGACACTACCCACAATTATTTGTTAGAAGTTTCTTTGACTGTAATCCACCTCTGAGGTTTTTGGTCCAATACTAACAACAACAAAAAAAAATCACTTATTCAGAGGAATAAATATCACAGATTTCTGTACCTATATCCAATCATATGTAGAGGTGAGGCCCTGGATAAGGGCTTTTCTTCCCTGGTTGAACCAGAAATCCTGATTATTTTTTTTCTTTCAAATCAGGATGTTTATAATGATTAGATTAAAAGTCTGAAGTAATAGTGTAATTTAAAAAAAAATTCTTTCTTACTCATCAGGTGTATCATGAGCTTAAAGAGTCTCTTGAAGATGATACATGAACAAAATCAATAGGCAAGCAAGAAATGACTGATATTCTCAATTGTTTATGCTAAAGCCATGGAAAATATGAATTTTGCATGAGTTCCATGAAAAAGGGCAAGCCAGACACTTTCACTCATCTGGCTTGGGGAAGGAGAGGCTTAGAGAAAATTTTATTACTTTGTTTTAGTCTTTGAAGCAGAAATTAAATTTCAAACAAAGTGAGCTTAGTGCAGTCTGATTCAAATAACATTTTTAAAACATTTAAAAATCATTATTTGAGGTAGCTGAAGGAGAAAACACTTCTTTCATTTTGAGACTCCACTGTTCTAGTGGTTCTTCCAATAATCAATAGCAGTGTTAAATGAATTTGTAGACATGCTTTTCTGTCTTTGCAATGCTTCTCATGCTGATAGTTGAATTATTTGATAATACAGAGTAAACCCCATGGACAAACTTCTCCCTTCAATTTAGGTGCTGGCAGAAACTGGGTGAACACCTGATTTGAGCAGTTCTCCCAAACTGCTGGGAGGATGATCCTCTTTGGAGGCTGTGGGCTTTGCCTGGAGCTGGAGGGCTCACCATGAACTGAGGGGCTCACCAGGACCTGAATGGCTCACCACAGCTGGAGGGTTCACCACAGCTGGAGGGCTCACCAGGACCTGGATGGTTCACCACAGCTGGAGGGTTCACCACAGCTGGATGGCTCACCAGGACCTGGATGGTTCACCACAGCTGGAGGGCTCACCACAGCTGGAGGGCTCACCACAGCTGGAGGGCTCACCAGGACCTGGATGGTTCACCACAAGCTGGAGGTTCAGTTGTTTGCTCCTCCAATAGATCCAGGCAGACCTTAAAGCAGCCTACATTGTCCCCAAAGGCAAATTCTGCAAAGCCTCCTCCAACTTCCCTTCTCCTCAGTCTCCCTTTCTAGGCTACAGCTGAGGGTGGGCTGCACACAAGGTGGGCTATTGTCCCCTCCCTGGGCAGTGTCACACAGCTCTGCTGGGAGAGCCTGGAACAATGGCCCTGAGCCAAAGAAGTTGTGAGCCTGTTTGTGCCTCTGCTTCTGCCCCTCTCTCTGACCTTGCTTATTTGGCTTTGGAGTACATTTTTTTATAAAAATTGCCTTTTCCCTGGCGCCCGGTGCAATGAGGCTGCACCTTTGGGAGGACCCTCTGCTTGCAATGTGGTAGAACAACGTGCAGTGGTGAAGTCCTGTGAGAGGCTGTGATCTCCCCACAGTCCCTGGGTACCATGCAACCCCCTGCAGAAGCTCCCTGGCATGAATCCTTTCCACAAAGAAGCTGAAAAGTGGAGATAAAACATACCCGTTTTTTGGAATTCAGCATCCCCATCTCAAGGTCATTTTCACAGTTTTTGGCCTTAGATTTGCAGAGTTTTATGAGGCACATTTTTATTCTCAGTATGAGATAATAAAATGATTTAGGGCTTGGCACTAGATTAAAAGGAGCAGGTAAAGTCCTTCCTTCATCAAAGTAGGATAGCCAGAGCTTGGCACGTGCAAACTTCCACTCCACATCTGCATCCTCCTTGGGAAGGGAAGAAGGAAAAACAAGTCAACACCCAAATTAGTAAATAGGAAGGAATTCAGCTATGACCAGGACAAACATACAGATAGGAGTTAGCTACAACCAAATTCTGCCCACCAGAACAAGGTCCCTGCACAAAACATGTATTTGTAGGCTTCTCTGTTGTTTTCAAAACAAGGAAAATTTAAACAAAGTGATGCATAAACACAGTGTGTGTGTCTTCCAAATATTAGACTATTTCCTTGTACATCAGTGGGGTTCCTCAGTAACAATCTGGGTTTTTTGCTATGCTGATAAATCTATCAGAACATAGAGACATGGAAAGCAGAAGAAACTTTTATGAGCACAACAACAGCAAAGCCTGTCTGTGATGAGCTGCAATGCTCTGTGCCATCTGCTACCACTGCATTGGCTTGGAGTCCCCTTAGGGAGGCTCAGACACTGCTTTCTTCTATCATCAGCTGATTTCCTCTTGTGTGACACCTAATTCTCCTACTATTCACCTCCTGCCACTGATGAAGGTGGAGAATAACTCCATCATTCAGTGTCTGAATCTCCTTTATGAATTGTCAAAGTGGGCCAGGATCACTTCCAAGTAACAAGGGCAAGGTTAGCAAATGTTTTATGGAGGAAATCGTTCACTTGGCATTTATACAGGAGGATGATCAGGGCCATGTATCAGGAGCATTTATCAGGCAGAAGAAAGGGTGAGATACAGCTGTTGTGCTGCTGTGTTCATTGTGCTTTACATGGAGGGCAGAAGCAGCAGCAGAGGTGTGGATCTGCCAGCTCCCTGTACTGGTGTACATCTGTGTTCTGCTGGAGTTCATAACCTCTGATTACCCTGTGCCTCTGGAACCTGCTCAGGAACTGACACCATGGAGATTAGTTCTGCTACAGCAATGTGTCTTCACTAGAGCAGCAGCATTCCCTTCTGCCATTTGCTGTTCTCGTGGTTTGGGGTTGCACCTCACAGAATCCTTTAGTTGAATTACAGAACAAACCACTGGTGAACAATTCTAATGCCTTTCTGTTAAGCAGTTAAAAGTACTATTGATGGGAGCAGTTCTGTTTTATGGCTAGCAAAAGGATTTATTTCCATTAATCCAAATTTGTCAGGAAGTGCCAATACTTGAGGCATAAACAGAAGAAAACAAGAAGCAGCTAAGAGAGATGTTAAATGGTAGGCAGGAAAATATGGTCTTATCTCTCCAGGTAATAGTAAACCATCTACCCACTACCATAATGGAATTTAATTCCTAAGTAATGTCCATCCCAGCACATTATTGACATTGCTCTGGTCACACAAACACTTTGGCAATGAAGACTTTCTCTGCAGTCAGTCACCACCCGGCGATATTGAAAGATGCGTAGATGTGGCACGTGGGGACATGGTTTGGCGGTGGCCTTGGCAGTGCTGGATGAATCATTATAGGTTTTTTCCAACCTATATGACTCAGATTCTACAACTCTAATTTTCACAGAGATTCACAGAGAGTTCTTTAAATCTCACACTAGTGAGTACTGCAATGAATTACTATGAGAAGAACTAGTTTTTCCTCAATTAGGAGGATCTGGGCCAAACACTCACACTTGTTTCGCTTGCTGATACTTACAAGTAATCTTTACCAAAATTTTGAAAATTTCCATGCAATCAAGAAGAATGACAAACCATTTTGCCAAGAAAATGGCCATCACAAAGTTTAAACTGGAAAGTTAATATAAGCCACCTATTCAGATATTTTTAGTGATTTTTTTTTTTTTCTTCAAGAGCATCTCTGTCTACTACAATAAACTAGAACATGCAGTAAGAGGCTGAGACCCCTTCTGAAGTAAAGCTTGTTTCAAGTGAGTAGGATTCAGGGAATTGCTTGATCCTATGTGATTAGAAACCTTTGGAGAAATGACTCTGCTTCCTGCAATCCTGAAAGTCTCTAGGGCAGAGAGCATATGTAAGGTCTCTCTGACATTTAGACTCAGTTACAGCATGCACAGGATAGAGTTATATTTGTACTACAGTTCATGGATGAATCAGACATTACAGTGAGAAAATATTTTCAGCCCTGGCCTTTTTCAATGTCAGGTTTTGAGGGGAGATTAGGACAAGTAATTACTACAAACCCAACTGCAGAAGTTTGACATTTAACAAATCAGAAGTAAAAGGGTGACTCAACATTAACATTATCCAAATAATGTATTTTTTCCCTGCCTTTATTTAGATTAGTAGAGAGTTGTTTATGTTCAAAGCATTTAGCAAATCTACTCTGCTAATAGCCACACTACTGAGCAGGGCTGGGTAAACCCTGCAAATGCCTTTCTGCAGAAACCTATTAATATTCCTTGAGGGCTCTGTTTATATACTTTAAAAGATGGATTTTCTAAATGTCCACAAAGCCATGTTTTGCAGACCATCTTCAAAACTATTGTATCAAGTTTATGCTTGGTAATTGAAAAATATGGAATTTTTAAACATTTTCATGAATACACATGAGCTTCAGATCTACATGGGGTGGAGTGTTTAAGAAGTAGAAAACAGGCCAAAAAGTCAGAAAAAATATTACTCTGTCATAAGCATACTCTGTCATGTGCAGCTAAGGCAATACACATGGATAGATTATCATAACCAACAAAGGGAATAAAAAAATATCACAAGCTACTTGCATTAAATACATGTAAAGGAAATTTGGTTTACTCACAGAGGGTCATTAAAAGCAAAGAAGCTGAAATAGTTATAGAAATTATTCATTGTTGATTATTATTTCAATCATAATCTGGGGGTAGACTCAGCCTTAACTGTTATACCATGTGTGATTTCAGGATTCTAACCTTGGACGTAGAGTAAGCTACAGCCTCCTTGGGATTTTAGCATTTTTATTATCAGTAATAATTAAGTACATTGAGTATATAATCTGATTAATCTTACCTCAATTTCCTGATAGGAGTTGTTAATCATGGCTATTAGCATATTAAGCAGCACAACCACCATAGTGACGTTATATACTCCATAGAGTACATATCCAATATTCTCAATGAATTTATGGTCGTACTTCAGCACCACAGAGATCACTTCAGATAAGCCAAATATTGACCAGAATAAGGTTTTAAAACTTTCTTCTACCCTAAAAATAAAACAAACAATCTCTTTATAGAGTTGACATCAGGTTAGCCAGGCCACATGCTAATAATAAAAGCAGTAATCCACAAATATAAATATGTCTTGGCACAGTTCTTGCAACCCATTATCCATGACCCAGGGATGTGCCAAGTCATATTTCCTGATTTGATAAAGAAATATGATTTCTCATTAATACTACAAAGTTACAGTGTGCCCTGATTTGCTCCATCTGTTCTTATCAGGTGCATTACACTTGGATTTTGTGTCCCTAATAGGGATGACAAATCCATGGACAACTTGCATTTTGAAACTTTTTATGTAGGGCTTTTGCTTCTGCTCACTCACTCATCTTTTTTCATCCCAAGAAGATAGAAGCAAGTCTGACCTCCTTCTATGCAGTTTCCAGGGCAGAAGAGAAGCTTGTCTTTTACCCAGGAGAAGGGAATGAAAAGTTCTGCACTGTGGGATTAATATAAAGAACACATATATAGTCAGACCATAGTCTGATTTTCTTCCCATCCTGCTTTGGGACTCCAAACATGTCAGACACATTTTTTTTTTAGGGAAAAAAAATGGATTTAAGGAGTGGTAGAAGATGTTGCAGAGAGATATTTTGATTTCATTATTATCCTTGCTTGAAGGTAGAAAGGAGCAAGAGGAAAATTAAAAGGTTGAAAGATAGGACAAAGGGAAATAAGCCAATGACAAAGAGAAATGGGGCTGGAAAGAATGTGGCCAGACTAACAGGTCAAAAGGAGGGCCTGATCCAAGGATCTGGGGCTGTAACAGGGGAGGGGAGCAGCCCCAGCTGAAAAAGACAGAAGGAGGAGGAGGAGGGATGCTGGCACATTTTGAAAGCATTTTGCCTAATATTTAACTTAGAAGGCATTTTGCCTTTGCTGAGTAATCCTTAGCCTGTTAACAGTTAATTGCCTCCTTTCTCCTCCTGCCTGCCAGGAGGTAACACCTTCAAATGAAACAATGCCATATAAAAATTATTTTGATGAAATGTTTCTTACTAGGGTGGCAGACTAATCCTGCTAAATCTGCTTATTAAAACAACTTATAGATACAAACCATGGCATATTCAATGGGAAAAATAAACCTTACATCAATCCCAGCATCAATTACAACATTCATAAAAGCAAGAGAAATTAATTTCAACCCTTTGAAAAGCTGGTGCAGATTCCTGGACAGCTCCTTTCTGCTGCAGCAAACTGGTTTTTAATTCCCATCAAAATTTGTAGTATTCCATATCTCATTTACTACTAGTAGTAAAACTGCTGTTAAGAGTATAATATTTACTCTGTATATTGTTTTGTGGGGAGTAACATCCAGTGATGTTTCAAATAAATGTTGCACAATTTCCTGGATGACCAGAGTCACTGGTACCCCACTCCCTGGTCCCTGTGGCTCTGCATGGCTGTAGAGATGCCCCTGGGGGATCTCTGACTGTGCTACACTCAGGTGCCATCACTTTTCCACCTTATTTTCCTCTCCTGTAACACATTTACAGGCTCTTTTCTCCTGCCCTCATCTGCAGCTGAGCTGACCTGGCATTAACGTGTCAGACTCCACTGCACAGTGGCAATCTGGCCACTGCTTCTCCCACAGATATTGCACTTCCCAGCTAAGGAACACATATACACCAATGAAATTTGGCATTGAAACCCATCACTGAGGTGATTTCCCAAACTAATAAAAATCATAACCCCCAGCCTTGAGCCCAGCTGCGCTCTGCTATTAACTTTCCTTTTTAATTTAGAAAGGTTCCCTCAGTTTTCCATCCCACTGGCAGATTTTAATACAATGTGTCAGCTCTGCTCCTTTTCTGCAGCTTAAACATTGACCTCTATACTCGAGCAGTGCCAGATTCTCTTTGAAAAGTAAATTGAGAGTTGCAAGCAGCCTTGACCACCAGAGGTAAGGGCAGGGGTGCCAGGCTCCTCTGTAATGTCCATAAACCTTATTTCCAGTGTCAGGTAAGGGGCCAGTGCTTGTGGTGGGACTGAGAGGCTGCTGGAAAGGCTGACCTCACCTGTAGCACCAAAATGATGTTTATCAGAGCCCCCAGGCAGATGCAGGCATCTCTGTGTCAGAGGAAATGATTTAAGAAGACCTTGTTCTAGTCCATCCCTACCCTTCAGAATGGCTGGATGACTCTTTCCTTCTCCCTTTTAGATTATTGCCAGGTTGCACGAGATTTGACACAGGTTGCAGAGAACATCAGTTGGGTTTTTTTGTGCCTTTTTTTTTTTTTCCAAGAACATCTCACTAAAACATGAGAGGAGGATGTTGGGAGCCAAATTCTCAAAGATTTCAAGATGCCAATGTGTCTCCTTGTTGCCAGCTGAGCAATTTACCCCCTTCCTGCAAGGTCAGCAGGTGTTTTATCCTTCTCAAAGGCAAACAAATGAAGGATTTAGGAAATCAGGTGTTCTGCCCAAACTGACATCTCCTGGCAGCAGGAGGGTCTGGCAGTGACAGATTGGCAGATGCTCCTTGTGGAGGTGGCTATGCAGCAATCACCCTCTTTACTGTGGTAGAACTGACTGCACTGGGGAGACCACGGAGATTGTTTGTTTGTTTCATTACACTTATTTCAGTAAAATTTAAAGATTTTGCACTGAGGAAGGTGATGCTTCCTAACAGACCAGAGCCAATTATCTATTTGCAGATTTTCCTCACTATACAGCAAAGGATCATGGCAAGGCTCTCACTTGCTATCAGTCTTGTGCCCTCCTCTTTAAGAAACCTTAAGGCATCCTTTCAGATTTATTTCCTTAAATGATTTTGAGAACTAACTCTGCCAAAAAAGCAATGTAATCTACAAAACTATCACATTTTGACAAAACAAAACAAGTAGAAAAAAGCCTTCAAGCCTCGAAGTAGCTTTGGCACTGAACAGTGAGTCACATTCCCCTTTGGGGAGGGTGAGACAGAAAACCTTGCCTTGTAGTCTTCAGCCTGATTTCTGATGCAGAAAGCAAGATGAACACAATCAGACTTGCCTCCATTTTGATTTTGTTTGCATAGCATGTTCTTAATTACAGGCTGTTTCAAGAGCTGTGTGCTGTACACAGCATCTGATAAACAGATAAACATAGCTGGCATGGTGGCAACTGCTGTGGAAATGATCTGCTCTTCAGCACTGAAGAACTTCCAAAAAATTTTGGAAGTATGGTAAGTTAAATTATCTCTATATTAACTGTGTCGAGTAAAGACAACTGCATCCTTATTTCCTCTGCTTCCAGAACATAAAAAATGAAAGAAATGAAACTTTGTATAATAAATCAGAGGCCACTGGAGTGCTATGTACTTGCTCTGTAGATGACAAAAGAGAAGAAATTGAGTACACAAATTCAAAGTACAGTAGAAATGGAGGGCAAAAGTTAAACCAAATATTCACAAGCTATTATCTTTAGAACTAAGCAAGCAATTCTCTCAGTATACATTTTTTTCCTGTTTACATACTGCCCTGGGAAGGTGTGCCTTTCTTAAAATTGTAATTTGAAATATTTTAGTGAGCAGCTGTTTGCTTAAGGTTCCCCACTGAGGCAATGCAGGGACCTGTCAATACTCTTTGGAACTGCCCACAGTTAATTAAGGGCACAAATTCAATGGGCCTTTTTCTGTCACAGCTGTCCAGGTGACTCTGAGAACTGGGTCCCACAGTTAAATAGTCACATTTCTGACTGTAAAACTCAATGTAAAACTCACCCATCCTCATTAAAATCCACAAACATGCTCCCAAAAAACGCCTTCTGTGCTGTTGCAGCAGTCACTGAAGGGTTATGAGGACACCACAGTAATCATTTCCCCTTTTTGCCCCAGTGATTTTTCAGTGAATGAACAGCTGTAATACCCAAGCTCTAATACTGAAATCTTCCCCCTTTCCATGAGTAAATTGATGGCAGCAGGAGATCTCCACCTTCAGCAAGGCCAACAAGCAGCCACCAAAAATAGAGCAGGAAGCATTGCTACAACTGGTGTCTGCCTATCAGCCAAAACAACCTTGTAATTAGCTTATTAAAATTGTTTGAGACTGTCTACCACAGGGCTTCTCGTTTGTTGCACGGAATGTCTAAGAAGGATTTTCAGAAAGAATGTAAATCTATTCTCCTCGTTTCACATGATGAAAAGGCTCATTTTCACTGATCATCATTTGCCACTCCTGTGTGTTTAAATAATCAGAAGAAAGTAAGTATTTTTAAAGTCTCTTCCAAATTCTTGAAAGGAAAATTTATTCTCATTGAAAATTTGCTTTATAAGAATGTGAAGTTCCCCCAGGAGAAGTAGTCAGCAGGCTGAAGTTAAGGAGGATCTCTCCCCAGTCCAAATACCCTTGGGCTTTTAAAGCAATCTTTACTCCAGTGAGCAGTCAGCATCTTAGTGAATGTTTGATCATTATTTCAATAAAAAGTGACTACTGGAAGATGTACTTAGATAATGAGTGCTAATAAGAGAGCTACTGCGCTGAATTGCATCAGTGACTGGGATTTGTCAGTGCTGTTCTCCAGGGATGTGCCTGGGGGATGCCACAAGTGAGGGCTGCTGTGCCACCAGGCAGTCAGGGATGGTACTGACTTGATTCTCATTAAGTCTTGTGCTTCAAGGGCATCTTCTTCTTTTCAAACCTGTAGCAAGTCACATCCCACACACTCAGTTCTCTTCTCGCTAACTACTGAGCACAGATAGATGTAAATGCTTCTGGTCTACAAATCTTCCATTAAAATGCACCCTGAGGCCCCAGGAGAGGTCTAGAAAGCAAATTTGGCTCAACAAGGGAAAGTAAGCATTCTGCTACAGGTTACGTGTGGCACAACAGGGTGGTGTGGTGAAACTGGAAGGCAACAGCCACTTGCAGGACAGAAACAATGCTGGAAAGGTCATTTCTCTGAGAGGAGTGATGAGCTTAGCCCCAGGCTCACTGTGTAACACGTTCCAGAGCTGACACATCACATGCAGCATCAGATGTCTGCTGTGCACACAGTAACCACTGTGGGCTCAGGCACCGTGGTTTTGGAGTGCTTTCCTGGAAGTCAGCTCACAGCAAGGGGAACACATCATGCCAATCTCCCCACAGACAGGTGTGTGGGAAGGAAAGCCCCTTCTGTGTCCCTAAGGCAAGTCAAGGTGGGTTTGTGAGACACAAAACAGACTGTCCCAGTGCTGTGCTGGTGCCACATTGCAGTGCAAGGGAGGAGGCTTTCCCCTGCATGCATGGGACACATCCCTCATACTCAGCAGGACTGTCCCCTGCTCTGAAAACTCCCTCAGGACCTCAGCTGTCCCCTGGGGTCCTGGAGAATCGAGACTGCATTTTGTCCTGCCACCAAAGGGCTGTAAGATCAAAAGCAGCCTCACGCTGAACCTCACTCCATTGGCATTTGCCAACTTCTTTCTCTTCCCAACATCCCTGAGAAGGTGAGGGAAGGGACCTCCAGCACAGACAGCTCTGCAGGGCTGGGAGTGAGCATGGTCCAGGCAGAGCTGTGGGGAGGAGCCTGGCAGGATGCTCTGTGCAACCTTCACATGGCTGAAAAGTTCCCAGTCAGGTCTTGAACCCCACATCCCAGGCACCCTGGGTGGCTTTACTCTGTTTTGAGCACCATGGGCAGCAGCTGGCTCTGCAGAAGGGCACCCAATAATCACAGCTGCACTGAAATGATGTCCTAAAACAGACCACAAAATTGCAGAGTGGGAAGGGACCCACAAGGACCATTGAGTCCAACTCTTAAATGAATGGACCCTATGGGAATTGAACGCACAACACTGGTCTCAGAGATGCAAAAGGCTTCCTCATTTTACATACATTTCATCTTACAGGTTTAAGAACAGGATTCTTAGGTTTAACTTCTCCACTGCTTCTCTTGAAACATTGAACTGAACATCTCACAGAACATTTCCCTGATCTGCTGTTTTGATTTTCAGAAATAACCGGTTCTGAACTGCTCCTTTCCCTACACTCAGGCCCGGAGCTGGCTGGCAGGGCTGCAGGCTGTGGAACAAGTTTCCCTGTCAAAGCCTGGGTGTGATTTCCCTACAGAGCTGCAGCAGGAGGCGGCTGAGCAGAGCTTGTGTCAGCAGCAGGCTGGAGGGGCTGGGAGCATCCTCCCTCCCGCGGGTACTCACGTTGTAAACGCGGGGTTGTACTTTGCACCAAGGTAGTAAGAGTAAAGGTTGAACATCCCAATCATGAAGGCTAGGAACACCATGATGAAGATGACCATGAACTTGAAGATGTCCTTCACGGTCCTCCCCAGAGAGATCTGCAGGGGGCCGAAGCTTTCGTTGGCTGGAAGAATGTAAGCAATGCGGGAGAAGCTGAGTACCACAGCTATGGCATACAGGCCTTCTGAAATGATCTGGGGATCCGAGGGGAGCCACTTGTTCCTGGCTAAAACAATACATGTACACTAGGTGTTAGTCACAAAAAGGGTTAGATGGAAGCTGCTATGATAAATGCCCCTTTGCCAGACTCAGTCTTGCATTTGGGTGGGAGTTAAAGAGAAATAAACAACTTTGGGGCAATTGTTCACTGGACCACAATATGCAGTACAACTACAGCGAATTAGTTGTATTTTTCACATGGTAAAGGCAGGAAATGATCAAGTCACAGGGATTTACTGAAGCCACACAGTGAAAATAACAAACAGCATGGCTTTAAACAAAGTTGATATTTTCTGTTTCCTAGTTGAATATCAACTGTGCTGTGCCTTCTCTCTTTGAAGCTTTTGAGTCTGAGAACCAGACCACAACATGTGGAGTACAGTAGTGGATTTGGATACAGGGCACTGTGTCAGTATTTGGAAAGGAAGCATTAGGGAGATCAAGAGCTATATCCCCACCATTAGATAAGAAAGTTAGGATTTTTGCAGATAAAGCAAGTATAAACACTGTGTACCATTTTCATGTTACCTCTAAATTAAAACCATTTTCTGAAGTCTAATTACTCTAATATTTTTACATTAGAAAGCCCCAAATATGCATAATTTACCTAATCTGCTGAAATGTAAACATTTATATTAATATGGCTTATAAGTGTCTTTGCATCAACTCAGGTTCTTGATGGAAAGATTGTGACTCACAGTTAAAACATGTGACATCTTCAGGGCCACAGCAGGAAACTTAGGCATTATTTGCAATAATCTGAACCAAAGGAAAAGCAGCAGATGGTCGAATTCCCAGGATCTCATTGGGATATTCTGTTCCGGACCCTTTGCACCTTTGTACCATGAACTCACTTTAAAAGGGTGAGCAGCCAGGCACAGAGGGAAAAGCCACAGCCTAGTCTCTGTGGCTCTTGGCTGGTGTGGGCAGAGAGGGATGTGAGATGCTGCGAGAGCTGCTGGGGCCACTGGGATTCCTTAGTGCCCAGCCCTGGAGCTCCTGCAGCCCCCTGGAGCCAAAATCCCCGTGGGTTCTGCCCAGGCTGCATCCAGAGCGTGCAGAGGTGTGCAGTGTCTCCAGCCCCCACACTCATGTGAAGCTCTGTTCATTTCTGTACAGCACAGGAAAACCATTTCAGCCATCCAAAAGAACATTTTCAAGGCACTGCTGTGGCTTGCATTTCCCAATGTCAGCACTTATAGCTGATACAGGCTCTACAAAAATGTAGGTTTTGATGAGCAGCAGCTATTTTTATTGCTATTCTTATTTATTTTTGTAGAGGTGTTGGATGTAACAGAAATGCAGAGATACAGCAGCCTCAGATTCTGTGTTTGTTCACACATTTCCCTCCTCTCTCATTTGGAAAGCCAAGCAGATTAATTCATCTGTAATTTAAATTCTATTCTGGTCACTCAGAGCTCCTGATTATCTGTTGCTCAAGCTAGATTTTCAGGATGTGATTGGCCTGAATGTAGCCATAGCACAAGAGCAGAGGCTGAATGAGGTTCGGGTCCTTTCTGACTGGTTAGGAAGACGGCTGAAATGGGTAGATGTAGGGAAAATAATTTGGTTTATTTAGAAGAAAACTATATAAATATTACAAAAAGAAAGTTGCTTTCAGTACTCCCACACATTAACCTAAAAGAACAGGAAGTATTAGACAGCAAAAAGCATCTTACCATAGGTGAAGTAAGCAACTTCAGGGGGAAGGGTGACATTATTGAGGTCATCATCTTGAACGTACTGATCTACGTACTGCTGTGCCTCAGATGCTTTAAGAAAAGCCATGAACCTGGCAGTGAATGATGCCACGAAGATGGACAGCATCCCAAAGTCCAGCAGGTTCCAGAGATGCACCACATATTCACGTGGGCCCTCTTCCCAGATCTCCTTGCACTCTGACCATATCATACCTGTGGAGGGACCAGAGCACCTTTAACTGGCAAACACAGAAGGTGTTTCTGTATTCAGACAGATCTGTTTGTTTCCTGCTTGCAGTGGCTTCTAAGACTGAAGGAAAAGACCCTTTAATTAAACAAATTTATTGAGAATGGATCGTGTAATCTTTTATTAAAAATTAATACAGCCTTTTAATTTGTATGTCTTTTTGTGCTTATGAAGCAGAAATCTCAAAATATAAATCAATGGAAAGGCTGATTTTTGATGATGACAGAAAAAGCCCTGTTCAGAAATTCTGATGACACTAGAAAATTCTACTGCTGATATAGTCAGAAAACTGTAATATCCTCTCTTGTCCCCAAAATGACCTTCCTACACCGTGGCACTGAAGATGGCTCTGCTTGCTCTGCTGCTCTTTTCCTCCTTCCCCAAGATAGTGGGTGTGTCCATTTTGAGAATGCAAACAGAACTGTTCAAGAGTAAGATTAGTATGATTATAAAAGGGTAAGACAGAAGTTCTGTCCTTCCAATTTCATAAAGCTTTCTGTATTAAATAATGAATTTTCATATATTATAGTCTGAACTACCACTACGAAAACACTGAGTTTAGCCCAAATTTATGATTTCTTACAACAGACTTACATATAAACCTAAATGCCAAACCTAGTGAATTTGAATATTTGACATCCATGTCCTACTAGGAAGAGCTGGAGTGGACAAGTGAATTTAGTCAAAGATCTTAGGTCAGATTCTCCAATTTGCCCAACTTTCAATCCCAGCAGGGCTCCAGGGCCGAAATCTTGCTCCGAATAGCTGAAGTGCTGGAATATTTAACCCACTGATAAATATTTCCTGCACTCTAACCAGTCCTGTTTCCATAGCAGCAGCAAAATTCACGTTTAATCAAGAAGGAGCAGAGCCTGCCAATTTCCATGTGACCTCCTACAATTTTCTCCTTTCTGTGAACTCCTTTCATCCTCTCTGCTGGAAGCTCTCGTGGTGTGGCACGTAAATGCTTTTGCTTGGCTACTTCTGAGCCTCCTGAAGCACAGGGTATCCCCAGAGGTGATGGAAGTCGGGTTACAGAGAGGGAAACAGGTCAGGGGGAATTTAGCCCGAGGATGGAGGAGTGGAGAACTGCTGCTCTCAGCGCTTGTGCATGGGGAAGGATTTAAAGAGAAAAGGGAAAACTGAGCTATCCATAGCACCATCAGCCAAGGTCACAGTGAGCCTGTGACCTGCACAGCCCTGGAATCTGCCTGGAGATGTACCCTGATTTAGGTTATGCCCAGTGTAGGTCTGCCCTGGAGAGAGGATCTGCAGAATGCTGAGCAGAGGGCGGGAGAGGAGCCTCCCGTTCTCCTCCTCCACAGTGCTTGGCTGTGTGAAAGCAGGAACTTCATCCCACACTGTCACTCACCCTGAGTGAGATTTAATAATAAATAGCCTAAGGGAGAAGGCAAAAGAATTGGTTTGTCAGGAATTTTCCTGGAGCAAGGATGAAATATTAAAGAAACATTTCTACTTTGGGAAAAAAAGCATTCCAGAAATGATGGATGGGAGCAATTAGCCCTGTGCATTACACACGTGTGCTTTATAAAGGTACTAAAGCACTTAAGGAAATATCACATGTGGTAGCATTGCCCAACAAAGCACTTGTTCACTGATGACCAGAAATCATTCCCATCCAAATTTATTTCTAATCTTGCTGTCTTAATATACCTAAATCACAGATTAATGAAGTGAGAAGTGTCCAAAATTGAGGAGTCTGACTAAAATAAGAATCTATCTGTGAAAGTAACATGCCATTGGCCTATAATTTCCACCATTCTTTTCTCCAACTTTGTGGCAATAATTTTTTAAAAATGTCTATTCAGGACAAGTAGAAAAGCTACAGTACTGCTGGGTAATTGTATACACATTGTGAGAAAGTAATTCAAAGCTTCCTTAGTAAAAGTATTGAGAAGAGAAAAATCAGCTAAAATTCAGGGGATGAGACATAAGATGAGGTGTAAGAAATAAGAAGTATTTAGACAAAGCAGCTCTGCTGGGATGTGATTACATTGCAGTGTGGTGTTCCTGAGGCCCCCAGTGGCTCTGGCAGGGGGTATTTCCCTGAGTTTGATGCTCAGAGATGTGGGATATGAGCAGCTCCTAGGCTCCAGCTTCTGCATGTCTCTCCTTCCCACAGCAGGGATAATCAGAAATGTCACCTTGATGGGCAATTCTGGTTTCAGCAGGGGAAGGAAAGTCAAGATATAGGCACAGCCCATCTGGAAGAAAAATGGGAGTGTGCAAGAACTGCTGTTCACCACCTGTGCACAAAACCAGTTTGTCAGATTTTTATATCCTGTGGCCTGGTACATAAATCAGGAGCAGCTGATGTTGCAGAGCTGCCTTTGAGCCTTCCTGGGTCCACCAAAGGCTGCTGGATTAAGAGATTAATAGTGCTCAAATTGCATCTACCCAGAGTTCAACTTCTACCCTGGCTGCTTTGGCAGTGGGGTTTAGAAATAAACCCTCCTGCCTTCAGTGCACACTTCAGCCCATACTGTTCACAAGGAAAATGCCAACCTTCCTCATTTGAAGGCAAGAGATGGGGGACTGGCCACGGGAAGAGGCAGCCAAGGAAGGTCATGAGCCCTGGGTGCATGAGCCAAAATTGCCGTGCACCGTGTACAAAGGGAATGTTGGTCTTGTTTAACCTCATGAGATCCCCATGATTCCTCAAACTTGTCTGGACAATTCATCCCATCCTTCAGGTGTGTCGGCCTCAGCATTTACCATCTGCCAGCTCAGTATGGTGCACTCGAGCCCTCTGTCTATGTCATTAATGCTGGAATTGAACACTTGTCCCCATATAGACCCCTGAGGGACACCACTTGTCACTGATGTCCATCAGTGTACTCTGAGCCACTGACCACACAACTCTCCAACAGCTTTCTTATGCATCTATCAGTCCACCCATCAAATCCATCTATCCTGATTTAGAGATAAGGATGCTGTGGGGATCCATGACAAAGGCTTTACAGAAGTCCAGTTAAATGACATCTGCAGCTTGTCCTTGTGTACTTACACAGTCACTCCATCAGAGAAGTCCACTAGGTAGGTCTATGTTGGCCACTTTAATTATATTTCTACTTGCACACAGGTATTTATAATCTCTGTAAGATTTTAGCACCAAAATTGCTACCCTTAGTGCTTTTACAATCCTTGAAATTCAGGGTCACACATGGGGCTCAAGTGCAGGTGTCTGCAGGCCATGTGCACCAAACTTGCACCTCAGTTTTGCTGAAACATTACTGCTGAAACATATTGCTGAAACTTTATGGAGGCGGGCAGGTAAAATGGCCAGAGAAGATTGTCAGTGCAGATGTAGGTAGTCATTAGAAAATCTCATTATATTCAGGAGTCTGTACAATGAATCACCTTTCTTCTCCCAGAAAAGTGAAAACCTTCTCTTTAAAAGAAATGTTTTCTTCTTCATCTCTCAGGAACTCAACAAGAGACAGATACCTACTGCCTATATGAAAAGAATACCTAGTTTAAAATCTAATCATCTTGTCCAACTGCTTTAATATAATTTTAAAAATATATCTTACAGTCTTACTCTATCCAGTCTGGCATCTATTCAGTATTTTCTAGCCTAATATCCTGTGTGGGATTCTGATTATCATGGGGACAGGGAACAAAGAAACATTGGCCAGGAAGTCATCAGATAGAGCAGCCATATCCTATTTTTCAGGGGAATTTAATGGCATCAGTACTTATGGAACAGTGGAATTATTTGCTGCAAGAAGAGAATCAAAATCATGGTGGTGAACAAAAATAGCTACAGAAGAGGTAGACAAAGATTCTACAGAGTTGATAAGCTCAATTTCTCAATAAATTCTCCTGAGCTTGTTTAGATTAGTGGTTCAAACTCAGTGACCTGCCAGGAGTAAATGATGCCTGTAGGAAAAGTGAGACATCTGAATTTGTCTGAAACTCCTTAGAAATTTGATTTGTGCATGTGGCACAATTTTGCACTCAAAGGGTTTACCCACATGAATCCTTACTTTGTAATTGTTGAATAACCTAATTTCTATTATAAGATTTGAGCACCACACTGTGCTCTCACCAGTAAAAATTCCATACTATGAATTTTATAAAATTTAGCTCTTACTTGCCTAGAAGGTTTCATCACTAGACCTTGGAGTCCACTACAAGAAAAGCAAATGACATAATACTCATTTTGCAGACAAAGACACTGAGGTTCAGTGAATTACAACAGGATCCCATGGCAGGGTAATAAATCAGACAGACTCACCACACTTCTTTCTGCTCACTTTGTCCCAGAGTGAAGCCATAAGTTTCTATTATATTACCTTCTCTAAGATGCAATGATTAAACCAACAGAGATAAATAGGCAACATCTATAGCATTTACGATGGAAAGTGGAAAAATCAGGTAAACAAGAATTTACTAATCATCATTCAATGTTTTCAGAAGTGGTGGTCAAGATCTAAGTCTTCTTCGCTCCTCTTTTAATCAAAATTCTTGATATAAAGCCCTAGACTCATAGTGGGTTGTTTCAATTTTGTGGGAGTTTTCTTGGTTTGACCTTTTAATTTGTTTAGCTGGGGTTGTGTTTTCTGGGTGTTTTCTTTTTTTGTTTTTTCAGAGGTTTTTTTTTTTTTTTCCCATTTTTTTTTTTTTTTTTTTTGTCACTGTATATCATGCTATTCCTAATTAGGTTTTTTTTCCACAGAGGACTTGTAGAAATTTTGGTTTTACTTACCCAATACCCACTTCATGATCAGCAATTCTGTCCATGAGAACTGGGTTGTTTTGACTCTGAATATTTGTTTTGGATGATCCGTGATGGTCTCATTGGGGAGATTTTTGACTCCTTCAAACCGATCTGAGGCGTTCACTACTAACAGTCCAAGGAAAATTGTGAAGGAAACTGCATGAGCCACAAACTTCATGAAAGGACTTCGAAGGGTACGTCCCAGCTGCAATGGAACATGCACAGTCATAAGGTTTTTATTTACCCACCTCCTAGAAGTTTTTTCACTGTAAAAGTTTGAAACTTTTTGCCCACGGTGAAAAGGATTCAATAATTGATTCTGGATCATTAGCTAAATAGGGTTTAGATTTGTTCAAGTTGTTAGTTGCTATTACTAGACTTTGTGCATTGGGTAATTTTCTATGCCTGACAATGTCTTACAGTGCCCCTTTAAAGCCACATGTAATATCTAATTGCCCTGGCCATATGGTGAGTGGGAAATGAAGAGCCAGGACATTTATATGAGAGACATGTTTGTTTGTGTATGTGTTATATGAATGCACCCATGTGTCAGTATAAATCCTAATGATGGACACAATTCTCATCCTTAAATCATTATTATATGTTAGAATATTTTATTGATGGTGAACTCTTGGTTCATTATTAATGTGTAAGAAATTGCCTTCTGTTTAAATATGCTTTAGTAATGCTTTTCATATGCTTTTCTATCATAGTCTTCTCTCATAATTAGAACAAAAGCTGGAGAATTACATCCAGAACACAAGGATTTATTTCAAGACACTAAGCCAAGAACAAGAGCAGCAGGTCTCTTCACTACAGATCATTGTTATGCTCTTCTTGACAGGCTTTCTTGGTTAATTAATTTAAATATCACTCTTTAAATGTTATATTTTCTGTGACCCAAGAAAAAATTATTCCAGAAAGATAGAAGAGCAGAAGCATTTTCAGGAGCACTAGGACCAAAGCCTGTACTGTTGGACACAACAATGGAAGAGCTGGCCTGGATGGGGCCTTTCCAAATTTCCCTCAAAGCCAATTGGAATTTGTTTTTTAAGTTTATTACTCATTGATTCATTCCCCTTGATGACAAGGTATCATCCATTTTTTATAAATATCCACTGATTTGATAATAAAACTTCATAGCAAAAAGGACATAAAAAGGAAATTATTTGTTTTCATATTTATCTTCAATAACAGATTAATTCCAAGGAGCCCTGATCTCTGCTTATGGCAGAACAGGAAATATTTCAAAACCAGAGGTCTCTAGGTCTAACAGAAATTCAAAGGAAGTCCTGGAATGCAGGGGTTTATTTCTTTTTCCTATCAGAGTTTTTTAAATGTCAATAAAATATTTTATAAAGTTGACAGAACAGGAAATCCTATTGGAAAATGTGCATGCTTCTAAATACTGAAGAGAAAGAAATTAAAGAAAATTAAAAAATCTGCTCTTTCCCAAGGTCCTTATTAGCATTCTCTGAGGTCAGTTAGGACATGTTTAATTGGGTAGATATTGCACTGACTTGAAACCCAAGTTTATTTAACCTTGTCTAGGAATAATATGGCAGATATAGGAGTGGATGAAGTGTGCTAAAACCAGTGTCAACCCTGACAGCTCTGGTTCACCTCCTGTGCTGTCACCATTGGTGTAGTTGTCAACGGTTTTTTATGGTTGATGTTGAGCAGATTTATGCTTTGTAGTAGAATTTCTAAATTCAGTACTGAGCTGATGGGGTGATGGGATAGGCCTGAAATCACACAGTAATAATCTCAGATTATTTCCTCCTATGACCTGAGAGAGTCCAGATTGCAAGAGTAAAGTGGAACAACAGCCATGGATCCTCATGATGCATAAGAAATTTTTAAGAAAGTGCATTTGCAATCTGTATGAGACTCATTTCTACCCTGAATTCACTAAAAGAGTAAAAGCAATACCTATTGAATCATGAATCTTCTCTACATAGACTTTTCCTGCTGTTTATAGAAATGTAAAAAAAAAAAGACCTTAGATTAAAGTAGCATAGTCTCAGTTACCAGAGAAATAATCCCATGTATTACAGAACCAAATGACTTCTGTGGGTAATTTCCCTTACTTCTCTCATGATTTAACAGAAATTTGCATTTAGTTAACATTACATCAGCCATTTGTCCCATTTATTATTGCAGAAAGCATACCATTATTTTTTTGAGCTGATGCTTTTTATATCTTCTCAGAAATCTAATTTTTAGCTAAGAGCTACAGATATTGACTAAAATATTCTGTAAAGAAATTATGAAGTGTCAATTCCTCCAGCCAGTCTAATGCTTTATGGCAATAAGATTTTTCAAACAACATGATGCAGCTAAACTCAAGGTGTGTAACTGCATGAGTGTATCAATTTCTTGATTTTTTAGAAAATCAAAATACCACCTTTCATCAAACCAGCATTACAGAGTAGTGTCTGGCTGTTATTGCAAAGATAGAAACACTGACAGTGTGTGAATACAAAGGTTCATTCTTAAGAGAATTTAATGACTTAGTACCCTATCTCTATGATAGAAAAATAATGAAGCATACATTCATGTGAAAACAAAAATATACAGTGTGATATTATTACAAAATTTCCAAAATGCTTGAAGAGATGGGAACAAAAATGGATTTTTTTCAGAAGCATAAGGAAAAATCCATTACTATGCTCAGTACTGTGCCCATAGCAGAAGCATGAAGGACACTATTGTAGTGATCTCATGAATTTTAGGGGTAAAAAGGTACAGGTATGGCCTAGGCAGAGGCAACCATTAAAGTTCCAGTACTTCAACAGTGCAGAGTCTGCTGCAGTGGGAGCTGCATTCCACAAATCCCCAGCACGGCTTCAGGAAAATGGGAGAGCAGCTTGGACAGCGAGGGCTGTGTGTGAGTGACCTCTCAGTGCTGTGATGTTTGAGTGCACTTCAACCAACCAGAGAAGAAAAAACACATCTTGAATCTCTGCAGACAATCCAAGCAGCCCCTCTTGCTCTTGTCATTACATTTTCAGGTAACAGACTGTGGAATTTTTCTATCTATTCTCTTTTCTCTTTTGATCACCAATAAAAAAGGTTTTGGAGGCTAACATATAAAGCAACAGGTAATTTCAGAGTCACAGCCTCCAGGATATGGATGAGTCAGCAAGGATATTTCAGGATAGGATAGGCTTAAATTCATGGGTGGTGAAGTGAATGAATGACTGATTGACACTAAAACTGGTTTTAATAAAGTCAGTTTTGTGCAACTGAATGAAAAACAAACATGTAAGGTTGAAGTACAAACTCCAGTCAATACTATGTACCAATTTTTCTGGGTAGTATTTGATATGGTACATTCTAATCCCATAGAGCTTTGTTAAAGAAAATTTTCTGTTGGGCAGGACAGGCTTTAAAGTATGTTCCTAGCTAAGATACATCAGTGAAGCAATTTTGAATATGAATTCCTCTATTGCCCTATGTGAACCTGCAGAATTTGATCATTATAAGAATGTGAGACACAGTAATGTTGCTCAGGACAGCTCCTGTTGCAGTATTCCACATTAGAGATTTCCTCCATTTTTCTCACTGCTTTGGTCGAGAAATGAGCCCCTGACTCATGCCTGGGCACCTGTGAGTCTCTGAAGGCAGGCCTGATTTAAGTTAAATATCTTAATTGATTATTACTGTGGAAAAATTATTTCTTTGCCCAGTTGTGTATCATCAAGATTGTTTCTATCAGTAAAAACCAAATAAAACACTTGTAAAGCTGTCCAGGACAAAACTGGGCTGCTCAGAGTAGAGATGCTGCCTGTGTAGAATTTTCTGCAATAAAACTGTGAGAGGATAGCAGGCCCTTGGATCAACCTGCAGCCCTTGAAATTAGCAGTGATGATTTTGGGTGAAGTACCAATTGTTAGGGGAAAAAAATTGTGTTTGTGATTCAGTTATTTCTATCACAGACCCCAATCAAAAATCAAGACTACATTGTTCTGATCAAGGCAAATCCATGCATTAAAAGACAATACCTGCCTGAAAGAAATTTCAATTGGCCTTTGTGCTAAAAGGTTACATGTGGCTTTTCACAGTCTAGTGGGGTAAAAAGGAACATTGAAAAATGAGAATGCATGAAAGTTTTAGGATAATGAAATCAAAGCTGATGAAAAGTTAAGTACATCCCTCCCCCCATTTTTAAATTTTAATACACCTACCTCAAGAAATTAAAACCAAGTAACTTTCTCAATAATTTCTTACTTCTGCTGTAAAACTGTTTTAGTTTTAGTGGGGGGTTGCCTCAGTTTATTTCCTCTTAGTTTTTATGTTTTTCTTTTAAATTCTCTACTTATTTCTAGTCTAATTGTTCTTCCCACCTATTGCCATATCCAAATGTGGCCTCTGCAATTCTGAGACTGCACCACAAATGTTGCTGTTGGCCGGTGTGCCAGCTCCCAACACATTCAACAGAGGCGAAGGAAATTACACAGCTTCATAAATCTCTGATAGACTGGGATTTATGGGGTCTGACATGAAGGAATAAAAGTGGCAATTCCACACAATAATTCCCTCTACAACCCAGCCAGAAGCACCCACAGCACAGCCTGGCTTTGGCATGGACTTCTCTGTGAGCACCTCTGGAGTCCTGTCTATTACCCATGAAAAATGAGGGGCTTTGTGTTGGTACAGAGCATGAGGAGATGAAGTTACATCCTCATATACTCTAAGTACTCCTCTTGGAGCTATATTGGAGGAGACCAAGGCTTAAATGGGCTTTAATATCTAAGATGTACTGAAGGACTTTTTCTGATTGTATTAATGTGTTTCAAATTACAGTCTTTCCTCAATAGTAATTGATGGATCTACAACTACTAGAGTTTGATACATTTAGAAAGGATTCCTCACTGGTTTTTAGAGGAAGTGGAAGAATATACTCTCAAGACTGAATACAGTACCAGTGACAGGTAATTTTGATCAAATTTAAGTACCTGTGACAAGTCTCCTGCAGAAGACATCTACCTTGTAAGGGATGATGTTGCTGGCTATCGCTGAATGTGAAATGATCTTCTCCCCTGCCACCTCTTTTTCTGTGGCAAGAGCAGTGACAAAGCTATTTATCACTCAGCCACACACTTATTTATCTCCACTTGTTTGAGCAGATTCTTTCAGGATGAAACCTCTACAGATTTCATACCACAAACAACTTGAGATTTTATCTAAGCTAATGTTTGTCTCTGGTCCTTTGACCTCTACGTCTCAACAAACTCTCCTCCTCCTGCATTTGATCTATATTTAAATATATAGCAGTATTCTAAGTTTCACCACCCTTTCCCTCAAAACCATAAAGATTTTATGATTAAGTCTAGTCTTTGCTGCAACACTAAGAAGTTTCCTGGGCTTGCCAGAATTTCAGGCCCATGTGTCATCATAATGTTCCACTAACTAGAACCACAATAGTGCTCTATTAGCTAAAACCACAGTAATGTTCTACTAATTAAAACCACAATTATGCTTTATTAACTAAAACCACAATAATGCTGCACTAAGTAAAACCACAACAATGTTCCACTAATTAAAACCACAAGGTCAGAAAGAATGAGGAAAGGTAACAAAGGAGTGCTGAAGAAGGGAGGAACCCACAACAAAAAGTGCATAAAAGAACAAGAATTTAAACATCAGAGTTAACTAAAACAAGAATCTCCTCCTTTAGTTATTTCCAGTTTTGGTGGCTCTTCTATTTTTCCTTCAATCCACTCCTATGCTGTTATCTCCTATACATTTCTTTTTCCTTTTGTTTTCTTGTCACCCATTCCCTCACCCTCTGTGCCCACCACCCCACTTCTTTTCCTGCAAAGATGAATCTCAGACCATGACAGTTCCATTGTGTCTGTCAAGCAACGCCCCAAGCTTGCTCTCCGCTGGGGCAATCTTAGAGGATACCATGGATAACTTCCCAACATCTTTATGGAAAGATCTGGGGTTTCACTGCAGGTAAAAATGCCTGTGAACCCCCCAGACCATCAGGAGTTTGTACCTTGCTGCAGGGAGCAATCCAGTAGGCTATGGCAAGGAAGGGCAGCCCGATGGAGACCCCAAAAACAGCCAAGAACTTCACAGCTATGGATTGCTGCCGTAAGCCTGAGAGGTTTTCGTACCACATGGTGAGCAATTGCTGCTGGCAGTTGGGGTGAGCAACGAACTGTAAGAAAAGCAGAAACAGAGACATCAGTAGCATTGTCTGAAGAGATTTCAGGGAATAAGCTTCTGAACTTGCCCGTGGAACATGACAGGTCATGTCTTTGTTGTCCAACAAATAAACAAACAGAAAATTGCCAACCAGGCACACAGGACTGCCAGGTGGTGGCAGAACGTGCATTGCTTCTGCTCCTTGTCTTCTCTGGAGAAAAGCTGTTTTTATAGAATTAAAAAGCAGAATATGTGAGCCAAACCCCAAAATCCATCAGTGGTCAGCACTGACAAAATGCCTCTGAGCAAGTTACCTCTTGGGGTAAGATAGAGTACCCTGAGATTCAGAAAAGACACAGAAAGTGGCTTGGAAGTCAAGCTGAAAACACTGTGGTGACTTTGCCAAGGCCATTGACACGGCAGCTTAACACAGCACTAATATTAAATTGTTCTATTCACTTTGTAAAGACCAAAAGGGAGCCATTCTGCAGGGCTCTCCTGCAAATTATGAGATCTGGCTGGTATTTTGCTACTCTAAATGCTTTATCTCAGAGTACCTTTCAAAATATGACAGCTCATTCTTTACTGGTAGGACAAAAAGACAAATTCAAAAGCAGCAAGAAAAGCTGTGGTGCTCTGGTACAGAGAGTACCTGTTTTGTACCCTGTAACTGGGACTTTTCAGTTTACTGGTCAGAAATGAAAAAAAAAGAAGAAAAAAAAAAAAAAAAAAAAAAAAAAAAAAAAAAAAAAAAAAAAAAAAAAAAAAAAAAAAAAAGTGAATGGCAGAAAAGTGAAAAGGGCAGTTTCTTAATGGAAAAATTACAGCACCACCAGATCCTAGAACTACCAGATCCTACCTAACTATATTATACTAAAAGATTAAACTTTAGTTCATATTGTTCTTAAGATTATTGAATTTAGAATGTGGCTATTTTAATCACAAAGAAGGATAAGTAAAAAGCAAAAGAATAGAAAGAATAAATGAAAAACAAATATGTTGCTGGTGCAGCTAATTTCATAAGTAGAACTGAGGGTTACATTTATTAGTTCTGTGGCTGAATAAATGTTCCTAGGAGGGAAATGTAAAATTCTCTACTCTTTCAAAGAGTAGAACTTTCTGGAGGTGAAGGGGAGGAGCAAGGGGGTCAAGAAAAAAAGGGAGGAGGAAAGCAGAGGCTGCTGAGGGCTTGGCAGCCACAGGGACAGGACAGGGACAGGGACTATGCCTGGCTGCCACCCCTTGCCTGGATCAGCACTTTAAGCATCACCCAGCTGGAGGATTTCAGCTGGCATCTGTACTTTTCTTGGAACTGAAAAGCAGAGAAAATTGTAACTGTGCTTTCATCTTCACTACCTGTGAACAATGATCGATTTGGGAATTAATGGACTCTTTTTGAGATGTTTGCATAACAGAACTGTTAGTGTTCAGAGGGAAATACAGTTGCACAGTAATTAGGATTGCTCTGGAGTTACTTTTTTCCTTTATTAATATCACCTTATCAGCTGTTTAAAATATGTTTTTGAGATGCATTAGGCTTTGGGGGTCTACATTTCTTAAAAAGAAGAAAAAAAAAGAAAATGAGACTCTATCCCTTCCACTGAATAAATCAATCAGAACAAAGAAAATTGATGGGTATTTTTAACCTCCTTTGTCTTTAGATTTTTTCCTGGAAATAATAACATTTTAATATGCTTTCTTTTAACCTGCCTTTATGAAAAAGAAAGCTTTCAAAAAAAGATAATTATAAATTGTGAGTCCTACTCCTTCTGAGCATTTAAAGTTTAAGGCTGAGGTGATGACAACAGTATCACAAGGATGCATTTCCTAATGGTGTTTATATTTGTCCTAATGCTGCTTGGGCTTGTTATCTTCCTGGCAAATGGACAAAAAAAAAAAAAAAAATGAAGTGGAAGAAAGCTCAGTAGAGAATCGATCCCTTTGCAAATTTTATTTTCAGATCTCATGAATTCAACAACACTTGTAGTGACTCGTGGAAAGGGAAATGACACTGGAGAATGTGCAGACTTCTGGGATGCAGGGCTCAAGCAACATCCAGACTTCCTCCTCCTGTTGCAATTGTTCACTGAATTGTGAGAATTGATTCAAACAAAGAAATTTGGTTGTCCTTGGCAATAAGACAGTCAAAGACTTCTGGTTGTCATTTCAGAGACTTCATCAGACATTTTAATCTGTCCATTTTTTCAGTGTGTCTGGAAAAAGCTACAATAAAAATACAAATATAGGAAAATTGAGAAGGAATTGCCATAAAACCCAGTTCAGTGGAACAGTTTATTTTGTACAAGGCAATAAAGACAGGCAGAGTGCCATAGAGCCTAGGTGGTGTTTTTCTGTCATTGTTTGGCCCATACCCTCCCATTCCCCATGCCACTCAGGATTTTCCCTGACTGAGTCCATTCCTGGGTCAGAGGTTTCATCAGCTCCTCTGGACATCTCAGCCCTCACTCTAGAGAAGCTGCAGCCCATATAGAGGAAGCTTAAATACCAGGAAAGTGGTCTCTTTAACGTTCAGAGGAAGCAGAACATTCTAAAAAAGTGACTTAACAGATTCAAAGGAGAAGAAGGAAAGGAAAGGCTGAAAAACCTCATCTTCTCATCCTCTAACAAACTGGGTGCAATTACTAATAAACCCCCAAAACATGCTACTGGAACTAGGACACAGGGATGAAGAAATCACAAACCATACATACCTTGAAAAAACTCCAGTACCTTTGTAAACTCCCTATAAATCATTATCACTGAGCCCAGCACAATAGCTATTCCAATCTGTGCCCCTCTACTGTAAAAGAGATTTGTTAAGGGCAATACTGGGGCTATCTCCAGATAAGAAAATAAGCCTCGGGACCAGAAAAGTGTTAAAACCTCACAAAAGCCTAGGGACCAGAAACACATAAAGGCCTCCACCCAGAGGGATATTAAGAATTCAAGCAGCATGGCTACTGGCTGCTTTATCCCAACACTGAGTGAGCACAACCAAAACACAATCAGTACAGGTTCTTTCCACTTTCTCAAGACCCTCGTTGGGTGCTGAAAGAGTTTTTGGACTGGTTTAGGGCAAATTTGGGAAAAAACCTCCAAGGGGGTTCCTCCAGAAAGCAAATTCAAGCAGCCCCTCCCCCCCACCGGCTCGGGAATAGATTTCCTTGGAGAAAAGTGGAAAACACTGTTTATTTAACAAGCAAAGTACTCACAAACACGAAAGGATTAATCATATTAAATAATGGAACCTCTTTTTCTTGGTGTCTCTCAGGCCCAGCTGGTGTCCTGGCTGCAGCCTAGGGTCCCCTGGGTGACAGTCCTGGTGTTCCCACAATGAGCAACAGCTGAACAGTTCCAAAAAACCTTCCAGCCTCAGCTAACTGAAAAAAACCTAACTAAAATCCAAGGAGAGTTCTCTCCTGTTCCCTGCCTGTGCTGCAGACAGCTGAAGCTCTTATCTTTGGTTTTGAATACAGCCACAGAAAAAATCCACTGCTTTTCCTCTCCCCCGCTTTGCTCTTGGATCTAATTTTAAAGGCACAAAACTGATTTTGGGGCTAAACAGATGAATGGGGATACAATTCAGCATCATAAAGTCACCCCAGGACATCATCTTATTTTGATTATTACAAAAATGAAGGAAAAATAAGTTAAGGATCAGGAAGATCAGAGCATGGATGAGTTTTGATCTGTTAGTTGCTCACAGCAAGCAGTACAGCTTTCATTGTTTCTCTATCAGACATTAATGAAACACACAGTGACCCCTTGGGCACTGCCAGCCCTCTCTCTATCAACATTTCAGAAACTGATCTTAGATCTCCTCAGAGATGTTACAGAGCCATTTAACTTTCTCTCTTCCCTGGGAATGGACATTTACACCAAGTTAAAGATTACACTAATGCTTTGGTTAGACACTTAGGCATGGAGAAGAACAGAGCTTGAGACAAAAGCTTCAAGGCAGAATGCTTCAAAGCATAATGACAAATGGTGATGAATGATATTGAATTTTAGAGGACTGAATGCTGCAGTGCTTTTTCAATGTTCCCATTAAACGCTCTTTTCCTTTCCTCCGTGCTGGAAAATGAGGCGAGGAGGCTTTTAGGGACAAACTGTGGATGCTCCTGGGCTGCAGACAAGAAAGAGCAGTGTGACCAGGGCTGTGCAGAAGGGCAGGAAATCTCTGATTGAAATGGAAGCACTGGCAGTGGAGGGGATTGCCTGGCTCCAAAACCAGCCACTTAAAAGCATTGAGTGCTTTATCTCCTGGGCAGAGTCAGTAAGGTAATGCATCAGGATCTGTGAGCTCAAGCAAAATGTTTTCCAGCTTCTGCAGTCAGAACCATGCTGGGAGCTCTGCTGGTCCCATGGCCTGGGATCCCAGCAGATGGCAGTGGTTTTTCCTGGTACTGTGCATACCTCTGATACAGGAAGGAAATTGTCCTTCCCTCCAGCCTATCACTCACACAGCTTTTTAAGTTAAAAAAGGCTAAAAAAAAAAAAATAAAATCACACATCAATCAGCTCAAATAATGAAGCCACCAAAGCAGCATTTTTGAGAGGCAGTGGAAGACTCAGGTAAGTATTGTCACCTCCAAAAGGCCCTGCCCTGTACTACAGGGGATTAAATAAGAGACATGAATATTTATCTGGAATATAGAAAAAAGTTTCTTGAAGACTTCAGTGGGAATTGAAAGGACCCAAAGGAAGTGTTTTACATATAGGAATAAAAAGAGTGTTTCAAAGACCACTGTGGATACCACACTGAGTGATTACTTTTCCACATTTCTATTTAATGTGATGTGTGACAGCTCTCTGTGGTAGCTTAACATGTTATATGCATTGTGGGGAAACACCCTTGAGCTCTTATGACAGAATGGGGTTTTTTTCCTTATCATAGTTGCTCATAAAAGCAGGAGTTTCACTCCATAGATGATAAAGTACCTTTATATTTTATAAACATACAGAAAGTTACTTCTGATAGAAAACAATGTGATATAAAGACTTTTTTTATTTTCTATTATATTGAACGGAGAGGAGAGGAGAGGAGAGGAGAGGAGAGGAGAGGAGAGGAGAGGAGAGGAGAGGAGAGGTCTTGGACAGAAAAATGGTGTCAGCAGAAATAAGGAAACTTACGGCAAGACAGCTGAGAGACAGAGGTCAGCCTCAGATGATTGGAATTAATTGTGCAGAAAGAAACCAGTATGTCTGTTATTACTGAAATAATTCTATTTCCCTTAAAAGTGCAGAAATCTGCCACTGAGGCAAAAGAATTAACTATTCAGACAGGATCATCTCACTTTGCTAATGTGCCCTACACTGAATAGCCAGGGGCTGTCATAGGGAAGGCAAAACTCATCAGTGAAGCAGTGAAAGCAGATAAAACCCTGCATATCAGAACTAACAACCTGAACCTGGGACTGTAAAGTCCTGAGGTGCTCCTGTCATGTCCTTCCAGCTTGTGCCTTTCCTGTCAGCCTTATGGCAAACTTCAGGGTGTTTAATCACTGAGTGTGAGCTAAAAAGGACCTGCATAAATAGACTTTCAGGAGAACATTGAGGATGTCAAGAGACACTGGCAGGGGCAGGGATGAGCAATTTCTCTTTCCATCATGTAGCTGCATTCATGTCCTTGGAACAACCTTTCAGGGTTCATTATTAAGCATTTTTCTTTTGATGTAGCTCTTTGCTTTTGCAAACCTACATTTATTAACACATTTTAGGCTGCAGCACCTGCTCACAGGATCCCTGGGCTGGGTGTATAATGTTTCAAATGCCAGAAACCTAAGGGAAAATGCTGACTCAAATGAGTCATCCAAAGGGTTTCAATTGGCACCTTGTGCCCCTGAATTACAAGTGAAAAAGAAGGGAGCAGTAAATGAGTTGCATACATGGCTTTTCCCATTTTTGCCTGCCCTGCCCATGGCAGGAGACTCGGACCTGGATGATCTTTAAGGTCCCTTTCCAACCCAAACCATTCTGTGATTCTGTGTTGTCAGGAACAGAGGAGCAGTGCTCATGCAGGGATCCATCCACACATTGGAAAAACCAGATGGGATCTGGACCACACACACTGTGCTCTGGAAAGTTAAAAGGACATCAGAATAATCATGAAGATTTCCTGACACCTTGCAGCCAAGCACAGCCTGAGCTGAGCTTGCCATGCTCGTGTTCCCAGCAGGACCAGAGCCAGGGCTGCTCTGGAAGGGGAGCTGAGCTTTCCTGGGCAGCTTTGCTGTGCTTGAGAGAAACCAGAGGGAGGAAGGGAGGCAAAGCTGGGCTTGCTGCACGGGCAGGGCTGTGTTTCTCAGCAAAGCCTTCACCAAAGGACAAATGAAATCCTCCTTTTTCAGCAGGTCGCTGAACACTGTGGGAGTATCAGCAAACATTGGCAGGGGTGGCACAAACTCAGGGAAAGGTCAAAGCAGGACATTACAGCTCTTCCCCTGAAGGGTAAAAAATATACTGCCATTTGACCAAAAAGGGTCAGATAAATTAAGATGTAAACATGCAAGTAAGAGGGAAAAAAAAATCATTGAATTTATAAAACCAAAATATAGTTTCTTTGCTTTTATAAGACTTCTCCCTTTTGAAGATTCCTTTGATATTTTAGGCATTTTTAAGACATGAGGCCTAAATAAAGGATCTGCACTTACACTGAATAAAATACTTTTCTTAAACTGAAACATACTTTTTTTGGGGCAGGAAAAAAGGTGGAAAATGTGTCAAATTTTTTTTTTTTTTTAATCCAGTAAAGGACCCGTTAGAGATTTGTTTCACTTGATGCAGAGCAGAAGATGTCAGAGGTCAGAAGGAATTACTGAAGTTTGCTGGAAAACACAGAGTGCAGGGAAAGACCAGCACAGGCAGAAGCCTTTCCTTATCTCCACATTGCACTCTGCTCTGTGGACTTCCAAGTGAACAAAGAGCCCTTTGTTTTGCAGAAACTATTCTGACGCCTTAGCAGAAGCAGGTGGGATATTCTATATATTATATATTTATTTCATGCTCTGGAGTGTGAAAAAAAAATTGCCTTTAGCAAATGCATGAGCTATTAAATTCTGACAGCTGAAATTGTCAGGGGGTAAATATGGCTGGAACTTGGTTCACTCTTTGCTGTTGTGGCTGCAAGAGAGGCAAATAAAACTGCAGAAAGTTTAAGAAAGAAATAGAAAAGTACATGTCCTACTGCTAATGAATTAAAAATAACAAGTAAAGTTCCATTCCAAAGATATTGGGACCTTTTCACAAAAAAAGAACAGCTCTAATTATAGTTAAATTCTATCCATGGCCACGGGCTATGTTTTCAAAACACCTTGCACCAGACTAACATTACAAGAGAGTAAAACAACCAAATTCCTTTGTCCAGATGCAATAGAAAGAGATGAGAGAAAATTCAGCTGATCAAGTCTCATTTCAATGGGATCTAACCAGAGCATTAAAGCAAACACTACGTGACAAAAGATCCTCTGAGATATTGCTGCAGACACACAGGGAACAAGGAAATGTCCCTGCCCTGAGGATTGCTGCAGCTTTCCCTCTGTCCCTGGGGTTCATTTGACTCTCTAATGGCATCACACAAATATTCATGAGGTTCTTGCTCATCCTGCAGATGAGTTTTGTGACAGGCTTGGTGAATATTCAGACCTGCTATCTGGAGTCAAACTTCAGCGTTTTTAAGCCTGTAGCAAGGGGAAAAGGTTTGTATTCGTAAGCAAGGTCCAGATAAGCCAGGATTACTAGGAAAAAAAGCCCAACTAATTGTGCAGCTTCAGCCTCTGAGTTACATTTAGGGCATAGACCCACAAGTCTTTAGTACAGTTTTAGTCATAAATTGCACCTTTCAGAAAACCTTTCACATTGTTTCCTTCTGAACCAAAATACCTTTGTATTTGTACCTTTGTACCTTTAGAGCCATTTGGCAGAGGGCAAATACACCAAAACCCAGGATACTCACACATTCCCCAGTTTTATTGAAATCCAATATCTGGATCCACTTGCTGGTTGACCTGAGTTATCCAATACAAAATTATAATTTTGAGCACTTAAAACCTTCACATAGCTCCAGTTTACAGCCACATCTCCTCCCTGTGACTCATTTTGCTTTATAAAAACAAGAGTGTTTGGGGCAGATCTGCTCCCTGCTAAATTAGGGAGTGCTTTAGCAGGACTGGGATCTCACTTTGCAAAGGTGGCAGGGACAGAAGCAGGGCAGGGGAGGTCACCCAGTGCTGGGTGATTGCCCCAAAGGCCCCGTGTGGCTCAGCTCTGGAAAAGGCAAGGCATGATCCTGTTAGGGTGAGTGACAGGGGTGGAAACAGGCTTTGATCAGG